AAAGAAAAAAGAAAGAAATGCGGTGCTCTTAGCGGGTAGAGGCCAGAGGGCCATGGTGGGAATTCTGGGATGCTAAGAACACTTACTTAATTACTTATTTATTTTGCTGTGGATCAACCCCACAGCTTTGCACATCTTAGGCGACTGCTCTATCACTGCTGCACACCTAGACTTGAGAAACATTTATTTACTCTGTGTGTGTGTGTGTGTGTGTGTGTGTGTTGCTAGGGACTGAACGCAGGGAACATCCTGTTTCTCAGTCTGGGTGATGGTTGTCCTGCTGTGTTAGTGGAATTCTCTGAGGCAAAGGCCGGGAAGCAGGGAGAGCGGGGTGTGGCAGGAAAGGTGGGATGGGGAAGAGGGCTCCAGGGGACCAGCGGGGCTGCCTGCTGGGGGAGGGCCGAGGGGAGCTGAGTTGGCAGGGGCCGGTTCTTCCAGACCCGCGAGGCCGAAGAGCACAGCAAAGCAGCAGCAGGAGAGGCGGGCGGGCCGGTGCTCCTCTCCCCACACATAGATTTTCCGGCTTCCTCGGGGTCAAGGAAAGGAGCTTCAGGGCTACCAGACACCACGTTTCTCCCTCAGCATCAAGAGGCAGAGGGGGTTGGACAACAGCCTGCTTCCCCCCAGGGCGCCCCAACCCCAGAAAGCCCAGGTAGACACCAGATGCAGAGGACTGACCTTTCCAATGCCTCCCGCCCTTCTCAGCCTGGAGCGGGGCCTTGGCTCAGAGGCGGGCCCTGGGCCGCCCTAGCAACCCCATATGTCTAAGGCCAGGCAAATCCCACACTAACCGTGGGGTTCACGCACACATGTGACACACACGTGTTCACTGATGCTCATCCACAAGTATGGATATGAGGCTGTGTGTGGTGGAACAAGCCTACAGTCCCCACACTTGGGAGGCTGAGACAGGAGGACTGCCATGAGTTTAATGCCAGCCTGAGTGACACACAGTAAACTCAAGGCCAGCCTGAACTGCATAGTGAGACCCTGTCTCAAGAGAAAAACATCTCCACTGCCGGTACCAGAAAAAGAGAAAAAAACAACCCCAAGAAATACAAATATGAGTAACCTGTACACGTGTAGACATCCACCCAAATCAGCCTGCATCTTTGCAGGCATACATATGTGTGCATGTACACATGGGCATGTGCGAGCATGCACGCATGCACGCACGAGCTCACACACACACCCTCCCTTTCACCGTTCCTTCACATCTCGTCACCGGGTGATGCCTAGGAAAGCCTGTAGAGATCTCGTTGGCTTGGGGGCCAGCAGGAAACCAAACAGGAGCCCTTCCCAGTGGGAGCAGAGGGGACCGGCCCCTGCTGCACTCCCTCCTGACCCCAGAGGCCCCAGTCCTCTCCTCTGGACGCTGGGTCCTGTCTCTTCCCTGTGCTGGGGGAGGAGGGGGTCTTGGCGGCAGGAAAGGTACAGAGAACCAACCCAGGGGCTCTCTGGACGCGGGGAGGCTGCTCTAGGCGAGGGGCGGCCCCCAGCCACGCCCCAGCCTCTCCGCTGCCCCTCGAGCCTGTGCCAGTCACCGCGGCCCTCGGCTCTCCGTGCTCAGCTCCGGAGCAGCTGGCCTTCCTCCAGGAAGTGGCACTCGGGTGTCTCTTGCGTCTTCCTCTGCGCCTCTCTGAAGTGTGGCTGGAGGGGGGACACCCTCCCCACAGGCGGAGGACGGGCAGGGGCGGGGGCACCTTCCCAAACTGTGACTCAGCTCCCCTGGCATTCGGGGTTGTGGCCAATTCTTACACTTTGCTCATCGGGGACTGGAGGTCCCATGGGGTGGGGAGGGAGGGCTGGAGAGGCAGGGTCCGGGTGGGGCTGGCCCGGCCCCAGGGCCCGGACCCTCGGGCACAGCCCATGGAATCTGGCCCGCGGGGTTAAGACAGGGACTGGGATTGGGGAGGGGGGCGTATGGGGGCTGGGGTCTCAGGTGCTGAGCTTGAGCCAGGTAGGAAGCAGGTGCCAGTGAGGAGGAGCGGGGCCCTGACGCCCGTCATTCAGGAGGCTGAGCCGAGGGGTCAAGGGAATGGAAAACTCCAGAGGCTTCCGGACCCCCGGGGGGAAAGGTCAGGAGAACGCGAGGGACGGGAAGGCGGGTTCTGGGGCTGCGCGGGGCCGGGCGGAGGAAGGAAGCGACAGGGCCCGAGGTGCGGCGGGCGCGGCAGGCGGCCCGGGGCGCCGGGAGGTCCGGGAAGCAGGGGTGGCAGCCGCAGCCCGGGGTGTTTCCGAGCTGCTTCCCAGTGCTTTCCTCAGTTCCGCTTCCAGCTGTTCCTAAGCCATTAAATTCTTTCCAGAGGAGATAAGGCCCTGCGCCCCGCCCGGCGTCACGTGTGTCGGGGGCGGGAGGGGTTCGGCGGACAGAAGCCGGCAGCCCGGGGAGAGGACGGCCGGAGTCGGGCCCCGCGCCCCCGGGGACCTCGCGCAGCCTTTGCCCCCGCTGACCCGTGACTCACGGGCGGCGCTCCCCGCCAAGAGCAAGTTTCGGGATCGCGTCCGCAGCCTCCCTGCCCGTCCTGGGCCCGGGAGGCCCCGCTGCGCCCCGGGGCAGCGCTTCCTGGGGGCTTTAGCCTCCCCGGACCCTTCCCAGGCCTGGGGCCGGCGGCGCAGTCCCGGGGCTCCCGCTCGGCACCTCGGGGCGGCTTGCCGCTGCAGCCACAGGACTGGGGACCCCGGCGTGCGCCCCCAGGCCCCGGCGGCCACCAGCTCAGCCTCCCGCAGCCCCGGCAGCGGCCGATCACCACCTGCGCCCTGGCGCTGCTATGGGGTCCCTGTTTGTTCCCGGCCCCTCGCGGGGCCTCGAATCCCGCTCGCACCCTGAACCTGCCCGGGCCGGCGCGCGCCTCCCGCCGGCCTCCCGGACGCACCCTCCCGGCGGAGGCGTCCCGGGCCCGC